AATAAATAATATTTCCAGATTTATCGCAATTTTTTCCAATTTTAACTGGCTTGAAAATTAGAATGGGAAAATGATTGGTAGCGAACTTCACTTTCATTCAATAGTGTTTAGAATTTTGAACCTAATTTCAGATCCTTTACAACTAATGAATGGTATGCATACACAATAAAAGAACTGTGCTACGATGTCATCGTGATGGTACTTGAATAAATTAAAGCAAATTAATTACCCTTGATGCTCTCTGAAAATTTCTAAAATCACACAGTTAATTTTGGAATAGGTGAAATGATAAAACGAAAGCAGACAGGAAGGAAAACTCTAGAATAAAACAGCTACATTTTCCCTTAAAAACAATTAGTGCGGTATGCACATAATTATAAGGAAAATTCAGACTTTATGTATTCTACTTCTGGAATACCAATTTTCAAAGTAATATTTCGAAACTGATTCAATTTTTTTCAAGTAACAATGATATGAAGAAAGTGGAAATATCTACCATCTGGTTTGAAATGAAATTGATGTAGATTGCCTATAAGTGGCAAAGTTGGTGGTCCCTGCACTGCGCTAATTTGCTTTAATATTGTTCTTAACTTTTTAATGATGAAGTGAGCGATCCAAATAAGCATCAGTGTAATCAGTAATGTACTTACTAGTCCCATCGTTGTTCTCTGGAAATTTTCGAAACCACATAATTAATTTTGAAATAATTGAAATGACAAAACGAGCAAACAGAAAGGAAAGTTCTGGAAGAAAACAATTACATTTTCTCTTACAAACACATTTCGGATTTTATTTTGTAATAAATGTTACGCTTATAAATTCTATGACAATTTCAATCCGTCTTTGCTTTGCAAATGGCACAGAAGAAATGACGTGAAGCCAGAATTTCAGTGCTTGTTTTTACTTAGGAAAACTTTAATGATTGTCCTGCATTTTTCAACCCTTACAGCTGTCAAAGCAACATCTATATGCTGATGATTTCTCTTTATCGTATATATTTTATTAACAACCAAACATGATTCAATTTATGAAGTTATGAAATGAAAATATCATTAGACAAATTTTTGAAATGCCAAAAACATTATGCCAGTAGATATCATATTTGAACAAAATAAACGTCCTCGGCTAAAAAAAATCGATTAAATCTTCTCATCTCCGAGGAAAAATTAAGGGCCAACTAGCTACACTGGACAGATCCTTCGGGAAAAAATCAATAACAATCAGGTGATCTTTTCGTAAAATTAATCGATATGTAATGTCAATTTTCTCGATTGATAGAGCAAAGAGAAATGGCTTCAATTACCAAATATTTGATGGAGTGACAATACAATTACAATGTTGGACAATTTCTTTGCACAGGTATTTTGTTAAATTATTACATTAATCAAAGGACGAGTTTCCTTGTTGATTTGACCG